AACTAGAACTTATATTTTAGGCACCAGCAGGTGGCGTGGTGAAGGTGCTGGACTCCCACATGGCCAACCATGGCTGTTTGCTTTCTCACTTTCCCTCTCTCCTGGTCAAATTAAAATAAATAAATAAGTAAAATTAATAAGTTTTTTTTCTTAAAGAACTTCTATTTTAAGAAATCATTGTCATTTAAAAATGTGTACTTTCTTTTTTTTGTGTTAGTTGTCACCCAATCTTAAAATAGATCCCATACTTAATTTATCTTAATCAGAATATAGTGAAACACAAATTACAACAATCCAGCCTAATCCCTCTCCCCCACTACAAAACCTCATTGCAGTGGTCTCTGTACCACTCTTGCTAGTCCTAAAGTTTGCCTTACTGTGCTTTTAAGAAAAAAATAAACAGAATTTAGAGAATATTGAGATCCTTGCCTTTAAGTCACTCAATGAATCTAAAACAGTATTCACCTGACAGAGAAGTAGTGACAGGAAGGAAGCATGAGGAAGACTTTTGGGACGTTGCTATTGGTCTGTTTCCTCATCTGAGTGCTGTTCATATGGTTTGTTCAGTTTGTAAAGACCTTACACATTATACTTATGATATGTACACTTTTCTGATCTATACTTTAATAAAATGTAAAAAAAAGGGGGGGGAGTAGATAGTATAATGGTTATGTCACTGGACTCCCATGTAGTCAACTATGGTTGAAGTCCTGGACCCGGGGGCTTAAAACTCATGCCAGGCTCATGTGCGTGTGCCCAAAACCCTGAGAGCTGACTGGATGAGAAGGGTCTGCAGTGTGGGCATCCTCCCTGGGGAGTGATTTCTCACTTTCTGTCTCTCTGTGGAGCACACATGCCCTATAGCAAAAATCTCTCTCACAAAAAAAATGGGTCCTGCTCACATGAGTGATAGGTAACTTCCAAGGGTTGAAAATTTGTAATCTGCAAAAGTTAGGTCTAGATCTAAAATCCATGATTCTCTGACAACTGTGATAAACCAATATAGTGATTCCCAAGCGTCTAGGACGGAAAGCTCAATGAACCATCTAATGTCTCTCCTTCATTCATTATCCTCACCTGGGGCTGGCGTGTGCTGGAGGAAATTTAGTATGATCAAGACTATCTTTTGGGGCCAGCTCTGTAGCACAGCAGTTATGTGCTATGCTTAGAAAGCTGGATCCCACCTGGCTGACTGAAGCTCATGTCTTGGCCCTGGTGACTTGAAAAACACACCATGTATGGGACCAGCAGTTAGCGTAATGGCTATGTCACTGGACTCCCACGTAGTCGACCATGGTTTGAGTCCCGGACCTGGTGGCTTAAACTCACACCAGGCACGTGTGCATTTGTGCCCAAGATCCCAAGAGGAGAATGGAGAAGGGATTGCGGCATGGCCATCCCCCCCGGGGGGTGATTTCTCGTTTTCTGTCTCTCTGTCTCTTTCTGTCTGGCGAGCGCACATGCCCTATAGCAAAAACCTCTCCAAAGAAAGAAAGAAAGAAAGAAAAGCATACCATATATATATGTATGCACGATCCAAATCCTGACGGGATGGAGGAATGGAGAAGGGATTGTGGTGTGACCAAGAGCCACTGAGGGGTGTTTTCTCTCTCTCTCTCTAGTGAGTACATGTGCACTGCAGAGATAAATAAAGGATATTTTTTTAAAAGAATTAGTAATGTGGTATTTATTTCTTTGGTGTTATGAGCCAATTACACGAGTTACTATATTTTGAACAAGAACACTTAAAAACAAAACTGAGCAGAAACTAGCTCATCTATAAATTACATTTTGTAAGACAATGGCATAGTGGATAAAAAAGAGGGCACTGGTTTGAAAAAGGACATGAATCACCCATGAGTTTAGTTTTTTGTTCTTATTCATCTGTTCATCTCCTTGCCTCTTCATGGATATTAACTCTATGTAGAAAAAATAAATATGCAGTGCCTTCTGCGTGCTAGGACTGAGGCTATGAGATGAACGTGGCATCTGCCTATGTCAGAGAATGGCTGATTACCAAACAGATTTCCTCTTTTCCTGAGCAGGCAGTTAAACTGTGTTCCCTAGGCTCCCTATTACAGTACGCGGTGGCACATGGCTAAGTTTACAGCCGTATGACAGGTGTTGGTTCCTGAAGACTTCCCAGGCACTCTCTCTCCCATGCTTCTTTCTACCTGCTGGACTGACTAAGGTGAGCATGGCAACCTTGAAAGTCAAGTGTTGAGGAGGGCAGAAGATGGAAGGAGCCTCAGTCATTACTTGCTGGTGGGCCATGCACTAAACAGGAACTGTTGTGGACTCAATGTGATGGAGAAATACTTATTTCATGTTTGAGCCATTACACATATCTGAGTCAGTTTGCTATGACAAAAGGCATTAAATAATGTGGTGAAGTTGAGCTGATTACCTTTTAAGGTGACACCTATCTGTACACACAAAAACTATTGATATGACACAATTTAATAAGTGCTATAATATAACAATGAAAACTGCAGAAGAGAGCCATTATTCTTCCTGGAAAGGGTTTTCAAAATAAGTAGTACATGAATTAGGCTGTAAAGAAGAAATAGGTAAGAATCAATCTATTTCAAGGACACAAGTAGTTAGACAGAGGTGACACTAATAAAGAAGAGATGAGTAAAGGCATGAACACATGTAATGTGCCCCAAACTATTGGCACATGACTAATTGTTTTTGCAAGGGGAGTAGTGGGAGCTAAGATGAGAAAAGTGGTATGAGACCAGAATATGGCATGGTAAGGAGAATAAGTATTATCTTGTATGCAGTGACAGTCACTGAAGATTTCAAGTGACACTACATGTAAAGGGTAGACTGGAGGGACCAGCACATGGCATAATGGTTATGTTGCTGGACTCCCACATAATTGCAGTTCGAATTCTAGACCTGGTGGCTTAAAACTCACGCTGGGCTGTGTGCATGCTCCAGATTCTGAGAGGAGAATGGAAGAGAAGGCACTGCAGTGTGGCCATCCCCTCAGGGGGTGATTTCTCACTTTCTGTCTCTGTCTCTCTGGTGAATACATGTGCCCTATTGCAAAAATCTCTCTTAAAAAAATAATAATTAAAAAAGGGCAGACTGGAAAGGAAAAGCCTAGAGACAGGAAGATTAAACAGGAAGTACTGATGGAGGACAGGAAAGAAAGGGCAGCACTGGCAGGAACTTCTGAGGTAAAAACTAACCTGATCAGATGTGGTGGGCAGGGAGTGGGGAGTAGTAAAGATGGAAGAGCAGTTTTTGAAGAGGTGAAAATAGAGAGGATACCTGCAGAGAAGAGATTGACGGGGCTATGGTGGTGGTGGTAGGGTCACAGGAGCTCATGAGAAAAGTGTTTAACAGAAACAAGAATGCATGTAAGCAAGGGAAATAGGTTGCAGAACGGCTTATCACAATGGGGTAAAACAGAGAGCTTGCCGATCAGATATATCTAAAAACCAAAAAGTTAGTAGAGTGAAAATTGAAGGTACACAACATAATAAAATGTTCTTTATCAAAAACAATGAATATGGCAATATACTTGATTGGATTATCACAGAGTTCAAGCATGCTTTGAAAAACCATACTGCACCCCATAAAGATATACAATTAAATGTAAATAGAAGTTATTAAAAAAAAAGAGTAATCCTGAAGCTCCTAGAAGGATGAGTAGAATTAAGAATCAAGAAAAGATGGAAACCAGCAGTTAGCGTAATGGCTATGTTACTGGACTCCCACGTAGTCGACCATGGACCCGGTAGCTTAAAGCTCAGGCCAGGTGTGTGTGCGTGCGTGCGTGCCCAAGATCCCGAGAGGAGAATGGAGAAGGGACTGTAGCATGACCATCCCCCCTGGGAGGTGATTTCTCACTTTCTGTCTCTATGTCTCTCTCTGTCTGGCGAGCGCATGCACCCTATAGTGAAAATCTCTCCAAAAAAAAAAAAAGAATCAAGAAAAGATGATGTTCTGAGATCAGAAGCAACTACAGATAGTGGAATTTAGAGAAGAACCATAATTACTCATTTTCAAATGAGTGAGATTGAAATACCTTTTGAATTCCTCAGTAAGTAGGTCACAGAGGATTATGGGTCTGGTCTAAGATATATTTACTTTAGGTAGAGGTAATCTTTTGGAAGTAAGAACATGGGAAAGCCCTGAATTGAATTGGTAGGTAGATCCCTAAGCCACCCTAGGAGGAAATGCTAATTTTTTGAAATTTAAATTTTATTTATTAAAAATAAAAGGTCAGGACCAGCAGATGGCATAATGGTTATGCTGCTGGACTCCCATATAACCAACCGTGGTTGGAGTCCTGGACTCGGTGGTTTAAAACACTCTGGGTGTGTGTGCATGTATGCCCAAAATCCCGAGAAGAGATTAGGGGAGAAGTGACTGCGGCGTGGTCATCCCCCCAGGGGGCGATTTCTCACTTTCTGTCTCTCTGTCTCTGTCTCTCTGGTGAGGGCATGCGCCTATAGCAAAAGTCTCTAAAAATAAAGAAAAAAATAAAAAGTAATCATATGATTCAAACAATCTAAAAGGAGTAAAGTCTGGAGGCCAATAGTTGGCTTAGTGGTTAAGGCATCAGATTCCCATAGGGTTGACCATGTTTTGAGTACCAGACCTGGCAGTTTTCAGGCCAGGTGCATGTGTATGCATGTGTGCCCAAAATTCTGAGAGGAGAATGCTAGAGAAGGGACTGCAGTGTGGCTATCCTCCCTGGGTGGTGATTTCTCAGTCTGTGTCTCTCTCGAATGAGCTCGCTCACCCTAAGGCTAACCACCACACCTCCTGAAAAAACAAACAAAACCAAAAAAGGTAAAATCTTTCTTTTCCAGTTTCTTAAGCAACCCATTTTCTCTGTCCAGAGTAACCAATGCTATTAGATTTCTTCTGTATCCTTTTAGAAGTATTCTTCACATGTACAAGTGTAATTCTCCCCCTTCGTTTTTTTTAACACATTTACACAGGTTCCTTGCCTTCCTCGCCGAGAGATGTTTACTTACTTTAGTGTGGCTCCCTCAGTCTTAATCACATCTCCATCGTTCAGATAAACGTATCGTTGCTCTCCATTTCCTATAATTTCTTCTTTCAGAGGATTCCGAGGGAGTTTTTTAATGCAATAGGCAGTGTCTAGTTAAAACACATATAAAACATATTAAGTCATACTTTAAATCTAAATTCCATCTTTTAAGAGAACAAATTTTATAGAGCTACCATTTGTGAATGACTGCATAAAATACTGACAATGGGAGATAACACAAAATGTGATGAATGATCATAGCTTATCTATGGGCTGTAACTATTTTGCATGTCTCAACAAAAGAGATATTTATTCTGTCTTCTTGATCTACATAAAAGCCTTTGTGTTTTTCTAGTTACTACTATTTATTAAAATAAACCCTGAAGGTTTTTCTTTTTTTTGGAGAGGTTTTTGCTATAGGGTGCATGTGCTTGCCAGACAGAGAGAGACAGAGAGACAGAAAGCAGGAAATCACCCCCCAGGGGGGATGGCCACACTGCAATCCCTTCTCCTCCATTCTCCTCTCGGGATCTTGGGCACGCATGCACACGCACCCGGCGTGAGTTTTAAGCCACCGGGTCCAGGACTCGAACTGTGGTCGACTGTGGGAGTCCAGTGACATAGCCATTATGCTAACTGCTGGTCCTAAAGTTGTTCTTTTTTAAGTGAAGCAAACTTTGACATCAGGACAGGTGTTGAAGATGCACTAATATAGAACCTGGGGACTTTTCTCTTTCTAGTACCTAATGTGTAGTAAGAAGTGATGGCAGTAGATGTTAGTAAAAGGAAGTGAGCATAAGGTGCTAGCGGTGAGCTGAATGAAAAACCCAACCTGGTGGCTTAAGATTAAACTTCTTTTTTTTTTTTTTTTAACAGAGATTTTTGCTATAGGGCACATGAATTCACCAGAGAGACAGAAAGTGAGAAATCACTCTCCAGGGAAGATGGCCACACTGCACTCCCTTTTCCTCTTGGGATTTTGGGCATGCATGCATACATGCCAGGCATGAGTTTCAAGTCATCAAGGTCCAGGACTCGAACCGTGGTCAACCATGTGGGAGTTTAGTTCCTTAACCATTGTGCCACCTGCTAGCCCAAAGATTAAACCTTTAAAGTAAGTTCAACCCATACCACCCCAACAAAAAAGTATTAACCAATTCACCAGAGCATCAATTATACCAATATTTATTATCTTGTATAAAACCCAAAGCCACCTTAATTTTTGATTTAAAGAGAGTGGGTAGAAATGTCCATTAATAGGTGAATAAATAAATCATGGTATACTCATACAATGGACTACTTGGCAATAAAAAGCAACAGAACTACTGATACATGAAAACAAGTGAATCTCAGAAATACGTTGTGTGAAAAAAGTCAGAGGGAGATCCTGTATGCTTATACGATGTGAAATTCTAGAACAGGCAAAAGGAATATACAGTAAAAGAAAGCAGATCAGTGGTTGCTCAAGGCTGAGGGATGCGGCGGGGCTGGTGTAAAGGGGCATGAGGAAATCTCTTTTTGGGGTGGTAGAAATGTTCTGTATTCTGACTAGAGGGCTCACACGGATAACTGCATTTGATAAAACTCACCAAACTGTACTTTAAAAACGGGCACATTTTATGTATAAAAATGAAACTCAGTAAAGTTGGTAAATAAAGGATAACAACTGGGCCATAGACATTTTGAGTTTTCAAACTAACTTTCTGACTTTGGCCAACTCTTAGAGCTAATTAAGACCTCTAGCATAGTTTTTTAATTCACAAAATTTAATGGGTATATACAGAGAAGAGGAGGAAGTCAGATTGAGAGATCGAGTCCCTGGACATACGGCCTCCTTGGATTAGGAGGAGGTAAGAAAAATAAGGTGAGATGGTTTTCTTACAACTGGTAGCCTGGTGATACTGTGTGTGCTGAGACTATCCTGGTATATCAACCATTTAATGCCTAAAAAGTTAGGTCCTTACAAATATTCAAAAATGCAGTTGAATACATATGTGCATCCTTGTGTAAACAACGTCCTGGACATTTTTGCTGTCTTGAACATGACAAGTGCACTCTGATGCCAGCATCTTTGGTCCTGCCATGCCCCCTGCCTGGCATGCCCTCCTCACAGGAGCTCACTTTTCTCTGTCCATCTTAGTTATAACAGCTGCTGACCTTCTCCACTTCATTCTCTCTTCTCCCCTTTCTCTTTCTGTAGCATTCTTTTTTTTTTTTTTTTTAGATTTTCGCTATAGGATGCATGCACTCGCTGGAGACAGAGAGAGAGAGACAGAGAGACAGAGAAACAGAAAATGACCCCCCCCCATCCTGAGAGAATAGCTATGCTGCAATCTCCTCTCTTCCATTCTTCTCTTGGGATTTTGGGCATGCACGCACACATGCCTGGTTTGAGTTTCAAGCCACTGGGTCTGGGGCTTAAACCGCAGTTGACCACGTGGGAGTCCAGCACCTCAACCGCCACACCACCTGCTGGCCCCGTACCATTATTTTTCTTCATAGCAGCTGTCATCATCTGAACTATAACTTATTTGCCATGTACCTTCCTTACTAAACTAAAAGCTCCAGGAGAACAGTGTATTTTGTTCACTGCTGTATCCCCTGTGTTAAGAACAGTGCCTGACATAGAGTAGTCACTTGACTATTTGTTAAATGAATGAATGAATCTAGGTATGTGATGGCCAGATAAAAGAATAAGGAGAGTGATGGTCAAATATAGGTACTAAATAGGTTTCAGGGAGAAATAACTACCAATATAATAATATGGCACTTGAATTTCAGTGTATCTTGGTATTTTCCTTAAAGTTACAGCAGGCTTAGGATCACCTATCTAGAATGTGGACAGTATCAGCATATACCTTGCAGTATTCACATGAATTGCCTGGCATTGTAAATGTTCAACATTTGTCAGTTATTCTAAGTCTAAGCAGTAATTGTCACACGGTCTAAATTTAAACTGATTGTCTTAACTGGGAAAAGTACAAAACTAAGAGGGAGAAGAGAACTTGAAACAGAAAACAAGATTTTTCCTTTCCTCTTTTTTTTTTATTTAAAAAAAACAGTTTTCGTGATTTTTTTTTCCTGTAACTTTTTTTTTTTGAATGCATTAATTTACATTCATCCCCTAAGCATCATCACAGCATACAAAATGTGAGTTCCCATCCAGAATATACTGCACAGTGGCTTAATCATGCATGTTATCATCAATAATTTTCCATTTCTAGTTTCATACACACACACACACACACACACACACACACACACACACACACACACACATATATAATATAGGGATAATATATATACATTTACCCCTATGTCTGACCCTCTGCCCTTTACCACCCTCTTCTCACACTATCTCTTGTGTCTACAGTTGTCTTCCATTCCTTTCCCCCACATTTTATTGATCACACAATTTCTTTTCTTTTCTTTTTTTTTTTTCTTTTTGAGAGGTTTCTGCTATAGGGCACGAGCGCTCACCAGAAAGACAGAGAGACATAGAGAGATAAAAAGTGAGAAATCACCCCCCAGGGGGGATGGCCACGCCGCAATCCCTTCTCCTCCACTCTCCTCTTGGGATCCTGGGCACACAGGCACACGTGCTTGGCTTGAGTTTAAGCCACAGGGTCCAGGACTCAAGCTGTGGTCAGCTACATGGGAGTCCAGCGACATAGCCACTACACTAATGCTGTTCCCACACAATTTCTTAAATACCTTTTCTCTTTTGTTAAAATTAGGGACAGCATTCAATAGGCAGATCAATTTCTGCAAGTACTGAAATATAAGGTATTTAGCAAATGGCTTACAGATTATTAGCTCCCTATCTGAAATAAATGATAGCCCAAGCATAGCTTTCCTCATTGAGCTTAATGAATGTTTTCCGTTTACCATTACTGATGTTTTTACAAATATCTTCTATGCCTCCAGAATGATCACGGTGCCAATGAGTCACTACAATTTCCTGGATTGCTGTGTTAAATTCAGTCAAAGCCTGCTTTAAGCAGCTGATATAGTCTGGAATTTCTGGTTCTCCAGTGTCAATGAGGATTCTCCTGAAAATTAAATGGAAGACAATCAAACAGTTGAAACATAGTTAATATTTTCACACAGATAATTTACATAAAATTTAAGAAACTGCATAAGCTGTTTTGTCTTCAACATGTTAGAAAACCAGCTACACGTTACTTCAGGTGAACTATAGTAATCTCACTATAAGCAAGACCTTTGGAAAAATTCCAGCTAAATTTAAGTTTAAAAAGAAAAAAAATAGTAATTTTGAACACTTACATAAGCAGTAAAAATAAACATGGCATTGTACCAAGGATCTTTCATATCTAACAACTGTGTTCCTCCTAACAACTATTTACGGTAGGTATTGCATTATTATAGTCAGAAGTTAAGTAACTTGCCTTAAGTTACTCTGCAAATAAATGTTGGAACCAGCATTCAAACCAAGATGTTCTGGTGCCAGAATATGTAAGTGCCTTTTTCTTTCTTTCTTTTTTTTTTTTTCTTTTTTGCCATAGGGAGCATGCACTCACCAGAGAGACAGAAAGCGAGAAATCATCCCCCGGGGGGGATGGCCATGCCACAATCCCTTCTCTGCCACTCTCCCCTTGGGATCTTGGGCACGCACACACAAGTGCCCAGTGTGAGTTTATGCCACCAGGTCTGGGACTTGAACCACAGTCAACTATGTAAGAGTCCAGTGACATAGCCATTACACCAACTGCTGTTGCCTATTCTGCTTTCCAGACCTTTTACAGAGTCCTCAAATGTCTATGGATGGAAAGGAATCTGATTCAAGGCCAAGAAAGCTGTCTTCTGTAATTGATACATAACTTATCACTGAAGTTTTACATCTGTTCCCTTACGCATAAAAATGAAGGCTGTAGGAAAGTCTGGGGGAAATATTTGAGCTGCTTACTTAGACAACTCTATCAAATCTCCCCCCGGGGGGGAGGGCCATGCCACAATCCCTTCTCTGCCACTCTCCCCTTGGGATCTTGGGCACGCACACACAAGTGCCCAGTGTGAGTTTATGCCACCAGGTCTGGGACTTGAACCACAGTCAACTATGTAAGAGTCCAGTGACATAGCCATTACACCAACTGCTGTTGCCTATTCTGCTTTCCAGACCTTTTACAGAGTCCTCAAATGTCTATGGATGGAAAGGAATCTGATTCAAGGCCAAGAAAGCTGTCTTCTGTAATTGATACATAACTTATCACTGAAGTTTTACATCTGTTCCCTTACGCATAAAAATGAAGGCTGTAGGAAAGTCTGGGGGAAATATTTGAGCTGCTTACTTAGACAACTCTATCAGTTATACATAGATGTTTTCTTTTTTTATTAAAAAAAAATTGTTAGAGGGCACATGTGCTCACACAGAACGAAAGCACCCTCTAGGGGGAGATGGCCGCACCACAATCCCTTCTTTTCCTGTCTCCTCTTGGGATTTTAGGTACACATGCACATGTGTCTGGTATGTTTTGCAAGCCACTGGGACTGGGACTCAAACTGTGTAGTAGGCCATGTAGGATCCAGCTGCCTTAATCACATGTTGGTCCCATATCAGTTACTTGTCTTTTTTTCTTTTTAGCAAAATATATTTTTTCTTTTTCTTTTTTTATTTTTAAATTTATTTACATTTAATCACATCTTTACAGTATACATTTCTTTTTCCAATACAAATACTATGCATGTCAGTTAAGACAAAGATATTACTATATACATTATCATCAGCAAATAGCTTCTCATTTTTTGTCAATTAAGCATACTTTTACCAGTTTTTTCTTCCCTTTTTCCCTCCCTCCCTTCCATACTAAACATTTTTTTTTAACATTTTATTGATTTATAAAAGACCTTAAAGTATGGACAAAGTTAGAATCTAGTGACAAGTACACTGTAATTTTCTTCTGAAACACTTTCTCTTTCCTCTCTCCATTCCCCCTTTTACTAAAGAGAGGCATAAACTAATTTATTTGCAAAAAAAAAATTAGGTCTGTTATTTGCACAAAGTCCCATAAGAATTCAATTTCGGATGCAAGGCAACAGATACTGTTGTATTACTGAACTTATGCAAATAACCATTCTGCCACAAAATAAGAATGCTCACAAATACTTTCCAATTGCAAAGGGGTCAGGAAGGGAGAAAAGTTTGTATGTAAATTAAAAAAATTCTTTCTTAAAAAATTGCTGAACCTATCAGCAACTCAAAACAAAACAAAAATCCTTAAATCTGGAAAACAAAGCATAGAAGAAAATTAGTAATGGTTTAGAAAAAAAGTCAGAGAATTCTATTCTACCAGTTCAGTATCATATAATCTCTTTTATTGAATTTGTAGTGTTACTGTGGTCTGACCTTTCTGTTAATATTCAACATTATTACTGATACTTCAGAATCTGTCCCTACCATTAAGTTGGCCTTTTTCTTGGTCATTTTTTGTTCTCTTATTTGTCTGTCTGTCTTTAGTTTTCCTGGCATAGTACTCTCTTCAGAACTTCTCAAAGAGCTGGTCTGGTTTTGGTAAATTCTGTCAGGTTTTGTTTATCTGAGATTGTTTTTATCTTGTCTTCCCTTATGAAGGATAATCTTGCCAGATATAGTATTTTTGGTTGAAATTATTTTTAACTTAACACTTTGAATATATTTTTCCATTCTCTCCCTTGCCTGCATTTGTTTCTAACAAGAGGTCCGATGTTAGCCTGATGGGATATTCTTTTAAAGTAACTTGACATTTCTCTTGCTGCTTTTAGTATCTTGTCTCTGTCTGTGGTTTTGGTCAATCTGGCTATGATGTGCCTTGGAGATCTTCCTGGGTTGATTCTATTAGGGGTCCTTTGTATTTCTTGGGTCTGGATATGTGAATGCCCCTTAGGTTTGGGAAGTTTTCTTCCAGGATTTCACGGAACAGATGATCGATGCCCTGATTATCAATGATCCGGATGTTTGGGTGTCTAATGGTATCTAGTATTACTCACATATTATTCTCTTTTTTTGGGTTATTTTCTCAGTATTTTTGGTGAATTTTTCTAGGTCAGAGGTTCTGTCTTCTACATCTGAGATGTGATCTTCTGTACAATCTAATCTATTTTTAAGGGAGGTTTTGATTTCCTGTTTTACAGCCTTCATCTCTAAGAGCTCCCTTTGATTCTTTTTTATGATGTGTATTTCCTCTTTCAGATCATGGAAGAACTTCCTCACCTCCTGGAACTTGTCTCTTTTTCTCCTGCATCTTCTGGAGTTCGTTGTCTCTCTTCTCTTGCATCTCTTTTAGCTTTGTCACTATGAATATCCTAAATTCTTTATTTGACATTTTCACAAATTCCACTGTACTATCTGTGGATGATGAAGCGTTCTTTCCCTTTTGGGGAGAGATATTTTCTTGATATCCTGTATTTCTTGTGCCTCTGTGGTGGTTCCTGGTCATCTGATAAATTAAAAGTTACTTCCTACTTTCTGGCTTTTAGCTGGGTATTGGGCCAGAAGGAGAGGTTTAGGGCAGAGGCTTTCTGGTTAAAGGGGCAGGTCTAGGCCCACCTCAGGAGTTACCTTTTTTGCTTGTGGTTCTGAACATTCCTTAAACTTTGTCATTCTTTCTTTATGTAGTTTTCCTGGACTACAGAAATCAGGGTGACTTTCCTCAAGAACTAATTTGCAAACTTAATTCTTGCTGTCTCACAGTAACAGTTCACTAATTAAGGCTGGCTGAGAGGTTTGTGTTGATAAAATCTGAGTTATTAATTCATTAACTATTTATAGATTACCTACGAATCATGCCTTTACTTTTTGTAGAAGCAAGACAAAAAAAATCCAATCCTCCTTATATTCTAGTTGAGGGTGAGAAGAGAGGAGCTGTGTGTGACTGAAACAAACAATAAACAAACAGTAAAATAACAGATAAAAAAAGAATTTTTCAGAGAATTAAAATATTTATGACAGGAAGTAACTGGATGGCTATTTTATATTGGATATTTTGTTTCTCTAGCCCTATTCCCTGAGATCCACAGCCAACAAACAGAGTTGACCCCTCACAGAGGAGAAAAGCAGTGGTCTTATGGTCCTCTGGCCTCTGTCTACAATATCCTACAATCCCTAAAGCAATGAGCAGACTTCAGAAAACAGGGCTGATCTGTCCATCATGGAGTAGACCAGATGGTCTCTTTGATACAGTGGAGCATGCTAAGGTCTTGCCAGTGGAAGAATTGTAAAGAAGAAATGGTTTAAAGACTATTTAGAAGGGATAAGCAACAGGATTTTTCTAAACAAATGGATGTGGAAAGAAAAAAGTTGATGATATTGTGGTTTCTATGTGGAATGATTGCTGGGCCATTAATCAAGATGGTAAAGACTAGAGTGAGAAAATTTAAGATGAGTTTGATTTGGGTTGCAGTGACTTTTGATGGCACTCCTAGTCTTCTTCTCTTGCTTTTCCTTCACAGTGATTATTAGCATGCGACATCTTATATCTTTACATGTTTATTTACTTATTGCCTTTTTCCACACATTCTACCACTTTATAGATTTGAACTCAAATTTGAGGCCCAGGAGGGTAAGTATCATCTCTGGTTCAAAGGATTTACAATTTTATTTCCATATTTACACTACCTTGTGCCATAATTGGTACTGTGTACATTTAGTCACACTAAACTAAAAATATACAAACTGCCTCTTTGCCTTTTGACTAAGATCAAGTCAAACGCCTGGGTTGTTGGAAAAGTCTTGGCACATTTTTGCACAGAAAAACAGAAAAATACATCATGACTTTTCTGATGACCCACTACTTACTATAATACCTCCAACAGTACTTTCTAGCCTACTGTCCTAGACTTTGTTTGCCTTCATGCATTTGGTTATTTGCTATGTCTACCACAAATCCTTGGATCTCTTAGTGTTACTCTGGCTATTTTGGGGGTCTTCTGGGGCTTGAGAAGAACCCTTCCATGCTTCAGATCAAGGCCCTTTATTACTACTATTTTTAAATCCTTATTTGTCCTTCTTCCAAGAAACTCTGCTTTGAAATACCTGCATCTAAAAACTGAACTTAAA